TCGTTGATGTTGGTCCCTCGAGCCCACCCTCCACCCGGACATTCCGAGGGTGGAGTGAGTTTACGTCCGGAGTTCTTAGTGCTCGAGGGATCTATCATCATTCATTTCTTTGTTTTGGAAGATAACCCACTGCATAGCTTAGGTGTGGTGCGAACATTTATAAAACACCCTGGGAAAAGCTAGCGGGTGGTACTGCCTCAGTCGTCTGGTCCTTGTCTACCACCTTCTTTTTACGTGTTAGTGATATTAAATAGAAATAAAGTGGCTCGTTTGCGGACTTGTACCGCCACCCGGCAATCGGTACTGAGGTATTCCTTAACGCGTGTACAATCACTTGAACGGGAAAAAGTTGTATACTGGATGCAACTTCCGGAACAAGCATTTGCCACGGCCCCGCTCAGTAGGGGTCGTCGGTATAATGAAGCAAGCGATGAATATTCTCAAAGCATGAAGCGTCAATTTTATATTTAGTGATAGTATCTTCGCTCTGCTCTAATTTGTATTTTTTTGCATAATCTAATTCGAAAAGGACCTTCATCTAAGAATATGCTATTGCTAGGCCCCAAATTGTTTCACAAATTGTTTGAACGACTTTTTTAATCTAATTCCAAAATTTTCTTCGCTCCCGTCAGATTTTTTCTTGACTTCTTATGACATTCTGAACAAAAAAGGTACTCTCGAACTGTTCTCTAAACTTGATAGTTGTCAAATTATATGCGATTTAATATTTCAAAAGGTGCAAATTTGCCATTTTAGACCCTGAAAGACAATATGAAAAAATATGAAATTTTGATGTTCCTCAACTTCCTAAACATCTTTTAAACATCCAGTAACAAAATACCATAGCATTACAAAAGCTATTGTTATTATAAACATTTGTTTTTTGTTAATCAAGTGCGCGCTCACAGTAAGTTTATTCCGCGTGAGCCCAAGAGAGGTGGCAATATTTTAGGGGCGGTCGCCAACCGCGGCGGAGAATCATTGGTTATAAAAAAAAAGGTTTACATCAATACCACCTTTCGAAGTACTCTAGGGTCTTTTTCATGGACGTTTAAATAATTAGGAAGTTTGGCGGCATTAAAATTTTACGTTTTCTCGTATTGTTTTTCTACGTTTAGAATGTCCTATGAAAAATTTTTCTAATCTAAAGCGAAAAATTATGCACCTTGTTTAAAACAAATGTTTAAACCCCTTTTGGCACAATTTGACCATGGCAACTTGCATAACTTATTAAAGAATAAGATTATGCAAAAATTCCTAATCGGAATATTTTTCTGAGCAGATGCGAATAGACTACCTTGACTAAATATTGTCATTAATAATTTTAGAATTCCTTGCTAATTCGATTGGAATTTGCAAATTCTACAATAATAAATCGCGGATGAATATTATAGACAAAATTATAGAAATTTTACTTTTTGTCTATTTCTTTGCGATCACCAGCCAGGCCAGTTTTCAAAATCTTCCACTTGTTTCATCATTGTACCTTCTGTGAAAATTTCGTTTAACTGCAATTTCGTATTGTATAAAATATTCAAAAAATGGTATATTGAGATTTAAAAACTTTTCACTTTACAATCCTTACTGCATCTATTTACGCGAAATGGAAGTCAGTAGTTTTTAAAATGTATAGCCGACTAGAATGATCCTCGAATATTCTAGAACGGAGATTTATTATTAGAAATTTTCACTTTCGCAAGATAATATTATTTATACTGTAAAACATAAAAAATATTGTTGGTGTTATTTTCTTTAACTCACAAATAATCTGATACTGAACTCAAAACAGCTATCCTGGTTAACATTCAAGTCCCTTTGTACAAGAAATTCAATTTCAGTATTACATTATCTTTCTCACAGAGTATACAAGTCACGAGTCTTTTCTTAATAACTAAAGTAATTCAGCTTTGCGTTCCTAAATATTTGTCCTCAGCATGATTTATAAACACAATTAATTTTGAAGAGCTTTCCCCTCAAGCGCAAACACACGGCCCTCTCAGGATCTTTAATCTCGTTAAATTGCCATCTTGTGATAACATCGCTTGCCATTTTTTACGTATTTTTTCTCGGTTTCTGTTTATTTGCCAGCCATATACCAACCTTAAGGAAGTCTTTTATATTCAATGGCGTCACATAAAATAATTTTTTCTGCATATATGAAAAATTATACCAAAGTAAACTATTTATAATTTAGGTGTCTAGCACTTTACTTCCCATGCAAATTAGCGAGGAAGTATTATAAAAAAAAATCAATCATATATTTTTGGATGTTACATGACATTATACATCGTGAATGTCACTCATTTCGGTCGGTCTGTACTAATCGTTGACCCTTGTATAGCTTGAACAGTTTAGCTGGGATTTTGATGTTTTGAAACTGGGTTTTTACTATGTCAGGACCGAGAAACTGTAGTTCATGAAAATCGACCTAATTACAGTGCAGCTACGACTAAAACACAAAAAATAACGATATTTGACGTCGCTGATACTACTATTCATTATCTGAATCCAGTTGTTACCGTTGTTCGTAGCTAACTTCTTTCTCAAGAGGGGCATAATTTTTCAAACAATTCAGCGCCATTTTTTGTACGAGAAATAGTTTTCCCCTTCCCAGGAGCCGTCCGACCAAATTCCCCGACACCACTGCAGCCTCTTGGGCTTATTATACCTTGCTCCTCGAATTCCCAGTACCCAATCCAGCAGTCTAGCATTATGTACCTGTTGGTACAGTTTTTCCTGCCGGTACTGTTCTAAACTCTCTCGGTTCTAGTTTTGGTTCCAGAGTCTTTTGTGATCCAGCGCCTCCCACTCACATTAGACGTTTATGCCTGCTTCCTTTCCTTTTCCGCATTGTCTGCATCTCCATCAGCCTCACAGCCCTGTTTTGCGCAAGTGTCCTTTCAGGCCATTGTGTCCTGTTGGAAGGCCTATAACTACACGGAGTTGGTTTCTACTTATTGAGAACAGTTACGCAGCCGTATTGGAACAGGGTCCCGTGACAAATTCTTTCCAATACCTGCATCCAGACACTAAGTACCAATATTGCTTGTGCTGGTTTGTTACCTATTCTTTACCTTGGTTCCTTCTTGTGCTTTTTAGTAACCATAGGCAGGGTGTGGGCATATAAAGGGTGTGGATGATCCTTTTCTTGCGAGCTCATCCACCCTTCCATTTACTGCATTACCTGAATGTTCTGACACCCACATCAGATGTACTTTGTTGTATTTTGCCAGTGATTTTTTATTTATATATATACCGAAGCAGCCGCGCAGGCAGAAGCCTAAATGCCGGAACACCGCGGCTGCTATGATGATCCCAAAGAAACTTTGTTAATACGATTTTTGAACTGCCTAAGATTAATAGAACTGAGAAAACCTTCCTCTTGTAGATTGTTCCACAATCTCGACATCCTCGGGACAAAGGAGCTGTCATATCGACCAGTTCCGGATGTACGAATTTCGACACGGTTACTATGGGACGCCAAAGTCAGGTGGTTCTGTTTAGTAGGCGCACATCCGGCGGCGGCATCATGGAATAGACCTCTGAGGAGCAAAGCCCGTTGGTGCAGCGGTAGAAAAGAGCTAGATCACCGACGGCCCGCCGGTGGGAAAGGGTCTCGAGACTGTCTGTTAGAGAAGAGTCGGACCGCCCTCCTCTGGACAGCATCGAGCATAAATAATGTAGTCGGGGCGGCAGCACCCCAAACATGTGAGCAATACTGGAGGCTAGGCCTTATCTGAGACTTGTATTGATTGAGAAGGTCATGCGAAGAAAAGTACTTCTTAGCCTTGAACCAGCCGAAATGCTCTTTGGCAGAATTCGGTTACCCATCGCAACCGGATGAGCGCTAGGACGCTTTTTGTTCGTCAAAGTACAGTATTGTGTTTTGGAAGCATTGGACTGTACAAGATTGTTGCGTCCCCAAGCAGTGATAACCTCCAGGTCACTCGTCAGAGAGGAAGTCGTCGCTAGTCTTCAGTTTTCCAGCTCCGCGACAGAGATTGGCTTGTCACTCTGAATTCCTGCATGTAGAGTGCTGTCATGAGCGAAGCTGTGGATTGGGTTGATCGCGCAGGAAAGGAGGTCGTTGATATGTAAGAGCAACAGAGTCGGAGCCAAGACCTATCCCTGGGGAACACTCGCGTTGACATTGTGGGATGAAGAGGAGAACCCGTCAATTACGACGGATATCCTGCGGCCAGAGATAAAGTCACTCACCCGTCTGCAAAGCTTTTCTGGGAGACCGTAGGATGGAAGTTTGCTTAAGCAAGCAGCGTGCCACAGCTGATCGAACGCTTTCGTCATATCAAGAGCAACGCCTTGTGAGCCTCAGCATAAGACTGGATGAGTTTACTCCACAATTGCGTGACGTAAGCTAGGAGGTCCCCTGAGGATCGTTGGTGCCGAAAACCATACTGCCTGTCGCTAATCAGGCTATGACGCTCGAGGTAGTCCAGAAGCTCGCGATTCATTACATCATCACATTACTTACACCTATAACAGAAAGCAGAGCTATAGGCCTGTGGTTGTAAGTCTTATGCCTGAATGTTACCTCCCGCATACGGTGGTTTGCACCGGTTCGGGTTAAAGTGAGGGTTAGCGCTAAGTTCGAGTTAGTCTTTGCACCGTCATACTTATCTCGGAGTTAAGACCTAACTCTGGGATAAATTTACCTCTCACTTGAACTAGGTGTTGAGGCGGATAGCGCCATGAAAATGTCGAGTAATACCTGCGCATCGCAATGCATACTGACAATAAAAAAGAGGTTCTACAGTTAATGTGCAATGACGTGCATCTCCACCAATTCAATGCTCCCAATCGCCTAGTGTACTTGATTTGCTTTTAAAAATATGGCAACATTCTATGTGCAAGGATTCAAACTAAACACAATAATTTTAGAAATCATATAATAATCATCTTCAAATTACAAGTTCTGAAAATACCCATTGATGATTAACGTTCTCGTTATGGATACTGGAAGTGATGAAACATCTATTTTGATGTTTGTTATTTCATCTCTTTCCAGAAGTTGGTTGAATGTATGGGGATCCAACTCATCTGGTAAAGTTGGCACATTCTCATCTCCATCAGCAATAACTATATTATGTAGCACTGCCGTAGCCACAATTATGTTCAAAAAGGTGCAACCCACCGTGAAAAGTGTACATAGAAATCCAGAGGTACTTCCAACTTGTCTCTAATCTCTCAATCACAGTGAGGACAGTATGATTTAGTAACCTGAACAGGTTTTCTTAATGTGGAGCGTTCCATCGTCCGGAAATATTCTTGTCGTTCGTAAATTCGTCTAGGTATACCAAACTCCAGAGGAATAAGGTCATCCTCGTCGAATTCTTCATTATTTATGGTTACGTCCATAATTACCAGGGTGCTTTGTGGACAATGCTGTCGGCTGTATGATGCGACTTGTCGATCCACAGCGAAAAATATGTTCAAAATTCCAACTTCCAAATAGAATCACAAATAGTATATATATATACCTATCCAGCCAAATCAAACACAAACGATAATGGAAAAAATAGGAAAGAAACTGAATACAAAACACAAGTACTAAAATGTCAAAATTTACGTCAATCTTTCAAATCCCAGCACATATTAACAAACGTTTAGCACAGAACTAGCCTTTGTGGCAATAGTGCGAATAAAGGTATTAATTCTGAGAAATATCCCTATATTCCAAACTTGCCAACATGACCAAAAGTCAGGGTTTATAAACCCAGAGTTACACCTTGACTGTGCAAAGCTATTCGAATTTAACCTGGGGTTACCGCTAACTCCAAGTTAAATAACCCTCACCTTTAACTCAAAGCGGTGCAAACCACCGATAGTGTAGGGAACCCTTTGAATTGACGGCATTTGGGCGCTGGAGCGGACGTCCATGGTGAAGTTGGCAGCAAAGATCTTGGCAGGCACTTCCGCCTTGACTTTTGAGATACAATCGTTCCATCCTGACACGTAAGTGGTGGAAGGCTACTGTGTGAGAAGTTCATTTCAATCTGCCTGGCCAGCGTCCAGAAAGACCGACTGCCATTGCGCTGCGACATTACCCTGCGCCTAACTTTTCTATCGTGCTGATTTTTGGCATTGTGTTCAGTTCTTGTTGGAATTCACAGATCAATGCAGATGTCACTCAAGGGCTTGTTAACACTATGAGTGACACCTGACTGCCAGTGTATATGGCGATCCTTCTATTAATATACGCCCATTAGGTACGCTTATGAGTGTACTTTTGCGCAATTCAAGATTGTTTCCTGCCCAGTTTTTCACCCGTCTGTGTACCAGGTAATTTCCTTTTGCAGGTTGTACGTTTGTTGTTTCGTTCGATCTCTTTTTAGGTCTCGAAGTTTTTTTTAATACATATCTGGGAACTACGTGATATTTCCTCGGAGCACATGTTTCCTTATTTTAATATGACCAAGGTCCTCATATCTTCCGTTTGACTGTAACCGTAGTTTAGAGTAGGCCATTCTTGTCTTCCCTATTATTACAAATTTTATCGGTGGGAGGTCCAGCATAGTCTCAAGTGCTGCTGTTGGAGGGCTCTCAATTGTACCGGTTATCGACAGGCAAATCAAGTCTTTGTATCTTGCTTAATTCTGCAATGGCAAAGCATGGTTCCGTATTTGGCCACAACAACAGATGCATAGGTTATCATGGGCCTTACTACCATTATGTACATCCAGTGCATCATGGAAAGGCTTAATCCCCATGTTTTTCCATGAGACTCCGCTCTCCTTTCAATGCGGGTGTATAGTTATGGGAAATCGTTCATAGTTTCAATAATTTCATGCATTTACCTAAACACATATCTTGGGGACATTTTAAAAATCACAGATTTTGATGGGCTCTTCCCGAATATGTGCCTTGCAGTCTCGTATATTTCCTGCTTGCTCCGTAACATTGGAAAAATAGCGTCTAAAAGGGGCGTAGATTGTGCGTTATCTAATAATATAATCTTAATCTTCAATAAATCACATAATCTTTATTTATGCATACTTCTTCCAAAAAATAGTCTTCGACAAACTAGAAGAAATTTCTTACAACTTATTCACTCAAGATTTTTATAGGATGTATAGTTTGGGCGTACAGATTCTTCAAAACTTCCCCAACACTTTTTCGGGCAACCTTCTTTTTGAGTAGCATTAAATAGAATGTGAAAATGGCGTATCGTAACCTTATGATCAAAATGCTCACTCGTTTATGATTGGCAGGTGAAACTATAAAAGTGTAAGCCTCAGAAATTTTCCGTCTTCCAAAATAATCTCATTCATAATAAATACATGCATACTCCGTACGCGCAGTTGATCAAGATAAATCTTCGCTTCAGCTTTATCCTCGGAGCTTAACTTTGGCGTTTTCGAGACGAAAGAAAATCCCGCTTTAACAAGCGTCAGAACATTGGCCGTTTCTCTTTTCCTTCCTCCAGCCTATAGCTAAAGAGGATGCGACCATTTCCATCAACCTGTTTTAAACAAGGTGGTTTTGTGAGATGTTATAATAGAGTAAGCGCAGGCAAAGCGAACTTCCTGGGTAATGAGAAATTTGCATTTGACATACAAACCAAATCATAAATCGTCCATTGTGGAAAGGCACAGCCATATCTGTTAAACCTTGTTCAACAATTGGCAATCAATTTTAGGTGATTCTCGAGCTTATTGGCCTACCAGATAACAAAATGTGTCTTTTTCTGGAAAAATATCGATTTTGAAATTTTGTACTGTGCATGAGTGTCTTTTTAAGGTAACATAAGAATGTTCTCAGTCATAGAAATGAGAAGAGTTGAGTCAGTGGTTTTAGTTCTCTTAAACTCTGATTTCTGTCAAAGCGGATAGCTCAAAGTGGATTCTGTATTCGCACGTAAGCTTATTTTTATTCTAAGTGAATATATAATTGGTATTTTGGTACAGATAGAACATAAATATAGAAAGAGCGTCAGTGGAGTCTTAAAGAATCTCCAAAATCCGGGATAGTTCATTGTTGTTTTGCTTAGTACAGATCATACTTTGTATGAAATCAAGTCCTTAACCATTTGTGATGTGTATTCACTATGCCCTGGGGTCTAGATCCAGACAAAGTGGATAATATAGATCATTTTTGTTTTTTGCTATCTATTTATTATCTGTTTATTTTTTGGGAAGGAGAAATTAAGAATCATTAGTATTTTCCTTAATTCTATATCAATTGACATTTCTATAATAACAGCAGAAAGCTTAAGACTGTCCCGGAGTCGCCGCTACTTTTAGATATTATAACATACGCCTACACAACAAGTTTAGACATGTCAAAAGGTCATTGTTAAGAATAGTCTGACATTTGGCTAGGAGGCAGTTCTCAATGTCCAATCAGTTGGATCTCATCTTTGCGCAATGCTTGTAATCCCTCTCTGAACTAGTGAAAACTTGATGCTTGGGTTTGTGAACTTTTCGCTGCTCGATAACTTCATTGTTGTTGAACCTTTCGAACAAGAATTATTTTTAAAAGCTAATAATAACTTTCATATAATATGCAACCATTTTTTCAAAAAACATGTTTGATACCGTATCTTATACAATGCCGAAGTTATCGTGCATATCCGCACTGAAAACTACCCAAGAATGTAATCGATGGAACCCTAGCCATTTGACTCGGCAACTGATCTCGTCATTCCATTGAGGAACATAGGGCCTCTCTGATCCATTGTTCCGCAGGGGCTTTGATTTGTCTCTTTGATTTTCCCATTCGCCTTGCCTCATCTATCACCATTTTTCTTCATGTCAGCTTAAGTCTTCCTATATTGCTGAAAGATTTAAGGGCTCCAGTCTATGTCAATTCTAGCTACTACTGGTCCATTCCTTTCCGTAGTAATCTATGTGACCTCTTTTTTATTATATAACTTCCATTTTTTGTATCCCTGATCAGCACAGTTCTTCGTTTGATATTGTTCCTGCCCAAAATATTCATATAACCATATGTAGATGTCAACTCACGGAAACTTGAAGTTTGTATTAGGCTTTTGTACTCGTCCATGTTTCACACTCATATAAGATGCTTAAAGTTCACTGGTAGAGCGATAACCGGGATATTAAGCTCCGAAAACTCTAAATAAGCTATTCCGACCCTGCCTTCCTCCCCTCCTATGTCAAAGGTTGTGCTGTTTTGTGATACTATGACTGTGTGAGTCAGTACGCAAATCGGTCGTCTAGTTTATAAACAAACCACATTTGAAAATCGACATTGGTACATTCCTACAGCAATAACCTAGTTATGAATTTGTTGTTAGTTTACATCTTCAAGATCCTATTGATATTCCGCGAGTGTATTCGAGTATTTAGAATGTCGTCATCATCCTCGATATTTCCATCGGAGCTGCGTAGGCTTGTTTACATCACGCAATTGCCGTCATGGTGGACACAGCAGAAGACCTAGACACCCCCAAATCTTGAAAATTTAGGGAGAAGTAAACAAACTCGTGTTTTTGAATCTAACAGCCACAATATCAAAAAGTAATTACGGACATGATACTACTTGAAATGCCGTACCAAGTAAATGCTGAGTATTTTTCTTCAGTTTCTTTTTTACGTATTCGGTGTTGTTTTAGCGCAAACTAACTTTGTCATTTCAGACGTAGCTGTTTCCAAGCGTGTAGGAAATACTTGTCAACAATATTTTCTGAGCCTATTTGATATATAACACTATAACGGAGTTGCATCAAATTCCGGAATGGCTGACTTGGGATATGTCACATGTCACAAAACCAGCTTTCTTGAAGTGGGTGGTCGATAACGGTTGGAGCCTCTTTAACTACTAGTCCCTCTTATTGGCCTTTTACTGCTCCAACGCTAACGCTATGTAAATAAGTCGCCGTCAGTTGAAGTTTGAAGTTGGAAGTTGCCTTATCTGCCAGCCAGCATGCCCATCCACGGTTACATTAGTACATTGAACAATGTAAATGTACAACTTGGATGGATATCGTTGATATATGAGGTGGATAGAGTTGAGAAAGCGATGTGAGTAGCGCTCAAACGTACAATTTTCGTATTAGATTGGCTTGGCGACCTAACTTCATGAGCTTCTGTAATCAGCTACATTGGCATAAAATCAGTTAATATAGTGGTTTTGCCCTCGTAGTGCAGTGTTTTTAGGTTGATACCTCCGAAACCTGGGAAATTGAATGGGGTTTTGA